TCTCTCTCTCTCTCTTACTCTACTCTTCTACTCTCTCTCTCTCTCTCTCTCTCTCTCTCTCTCTCTCTCTCTCTCTCCTCTCTCCTCTCTCTCTCTCTCTCTCTCTCTCTCTCTCTCTATATATATATATATATATATGAAGAGCTGATTTCCATAAGGTGTTAAGTCCAGTTTTGTACTTTAGAAGATATCATCACATTTTTATTTTAGTAATGATCTCTTTGCCTGAAACACAGCTTTTTCACTCTAATGTTTGAAGTGAATGGTACTAAGCATAAAAACACACCTGAATGAAATATATAGTGTACATAATACATTTTTAATTAATTTTTGTTTTTTAATAACATTTGGATTTAGCGCCTTTTGAAAACAAAAATTAAAAACTCATAAAAATAAAAATGAAACACTAATACCTAACACCAAACAGAGGTAATTTATAACAGATAACAATGTTATTAAAGCTTACTCAATGTTTAATAAACAAATTTTACAGTTTGTGTTGTTACAAGCCCAAGAAAACTGGTCAATGGAAATTACAGTGGTGATTCAGTAATTAGGCAAAATGTTCACCTTACATCCTCATTCTGTTCAACAATGGTATAATCAATTAATTATCTTCACCACAGTCATTTCATTGGTCTTCCTGATCATTAGTTTTTATATTTTGATGAGTTTTTAATATTTTTTTTTCTGAAATTCGCTAAATCCAAATTTCATTAAAAAAAAAATTAATTAAAAATCAATCATGTACATTAGATTTCATTCAGGTGTGTTTTCATGGTAAGTACCATTCATTTGAAATATTTCAGTGAAAAAACTGTGTTTCAGGCAAAGAGAACATTACTAAAATAAAAATGTGATGATATCTTCTAATGGATTTAACACCTTTTGGGACCAAACTCAATGTTTGGAGGCTGTTCGTGAAGGGATATACCAACTTTTGACGCAAATGGATATCTCACAAGATGTAGATAGGGCTATAGTGTGCTTTGATGGTACTAAATCATTTTTTGACCAAAATGGATTTAACACCTTTTGGAAATCAGCTCTTCATATATATATATATTACTACCGCTTGCTCTCCCTCTCTCTCGCTCTCTCTCTCTCTCTCTCTCTCTCTCTCTCTCTCTCTCTCTCTCTCTCTGGCTCATTCTCCCACTATCTCTCTCGCTCTTCATTCCTTATCTCTATGTATCTATTTCTTCCTCATCCATCTCGTTCGCTCACCTTCTTTTCTCGGCGTACTGCTCTTATCGCTCGCTCTATTCATTCGTGCTTCACTCCAGCGTTAATACGCGTCGTCAGTGACAGGCCTTCTGTTTATTTATACGGAATCTAAGCGCCTATATATGGCAATTTTCATCGGTGCCTAAGTTGATCGGATAAAGTAATCCATTTATTCTAGTTAGAAACAGGCCTTTACGTCCCCTGTAAGCCACACGGGTGTGTAGACAGAGCCGTGATGCTGACAGCGACAACAACACATGCTCTCTCTCTCTCTCTCTCTCTTTCGGTGTATACCGCTATAATATATAGGAGGCGAATTACCGCCTCAATAAGGGATATAGATGGTGCGCTGAGACCTGCCACTGATGAATCAACGCCCCTGGTCGACAATGAAACATGTGGGATGCATGAAATATTGATGATGCTCATCTACAAAGTACACTATTGCTCATGGATCCTTATTTTTGAGGGAGGGGGGCTTTTCGTAGCGCGCACACCTCGACGCACGCATGTTCATTTGTCTGCCGCGGTTGCTTGGTGATCTAATGACTATTTCAGAAATAGATATACGTGGCAACAAGTCGCGCATATACAGGGTTCAGTTTCTCTCTAATTATCATTCATTCTCTCGCGAGCAGATATTGAAGAAGTGAGCCGGGAGAAGTGAGTTCTCGGAGAACAGTCCGTCGGAGCATTTAACCGCATATTTTCAACTCTTATTGTGTATTTATTTAATATTTAACCGTTCTGTTGCTGTGAGACGACCATGTGGAAGCGTGTGCGTAGTGTCCGCGCCAATTTATTGTGTCTGTACCTAACATGTTTTACCGTCGTTAAATAAAGCTTTTACTTACTTACTTACTTACTATATGTGTGCGTGCGCGCTTAATTGAACGCAGAATTACGCTCGCATGGAAGACTCGTCCGATTCTGCCCCTCGCTCGCGTGCAAACAGAACGCTTGGCCAGGTCCGCTGGCCCTTGGAGATCGCTAGTGAATTCTGCCATCCACTTACGGAACGTGAACCCGATGTCAAACCTATACATGCAGCCCATAGCATCCATATTATAGTCTCCGATAGGCAGCAGCGGGCAATGGCAAGGGAGCGCAACTGGGGCAATTTTGATGATGAGATTTGACATGACAGATAGGCTAAGTTAGGTTACATCTCGCCGATTTCCATAGCTGCTGTACACGAGAGGCGAGTGGGAGGGGCACGTTTGACTTCAGTGCGCAATGTCACGATCGCGCATTGAAACATCAAAGCATCACGACGACGAATGAAATTTTTGCGCTCGATAAGGATTTTCAGTGTAAAACGTGATTTTCTCGTTTTTTTCTTGCAGTGGCAGCGTTAACGTTACCGACATCCTGGAGAATATTCTGAAGCAGTATGACAAGCGACTACGACCGAATTATGGAGGTAGAGCAATTTTTATTACTAATATACGTACGTTTCTCACGATTTTCATTTCATTTTGTCGATACGGAAAACGTTAGACCTTGCGCGCTCTCTCCGCATTTTTGTTCTCTCTCTCCTCTCTCCCGTACTTTCTATCGCGCACACATCTCTCTCCTCGATCTCTATCTCTCTATCTATCTTTCTTTCTTTCTCTCTCTCTCTCTCTCTCTCTCTCTCTATCTCTATCTCTCCCTCCTCCCACACCCTCGCCCTCCCTCCCCCTCTCTCTCTCTCTCCCTC